TTTGAGACAGAGCCTCAAGCTGTCGCCCTGGGTAGAGTGCCATCACGTCACAGCTCACAGCGACCTCCAACTCCTGGGATTAAGCACTTAAGCGATTCTCCTGCCTCAGCCTCCCAAGTAGGTGGGACTAGGCACCTACCACAATGCCTGGCTATTTTTTGGTTATAGTTGTCATTGTTATTTGGCAGGCCTGGGCTGGATTTGAACCCACCAGCTCTGGTGTATGTGACTAGATAGCTACTTGAGCTACAGACACTAAGCCTAATTTTTTAAGGAAACAGGATCTTATTCTGTCACCCAGGCTGAGATGCAATGGCAAAGTCATAACCTGCTGCAACTCTAGGCTGAGTGTGAAGCCAACATGCCCAGTCCAATTATTATTATTTTTCTGAGACAGAGTGAGATAGTGACAGCACTTTAATATAGTCAGAACTTTTCCTTTAGGAAAGCACATGACAAAAAAAATTTTTTTTGAGACAGAATCTTACTTTGTCACCCTTGGTGGAGTGCCATGGCATCATAGCTCACAGCAACCTTAAACTCTTGAACTCAAATAATCCTCTTGCATCAGTCTGCCAAGTAGCTGGGACTACAAATGTGTGCCAGAACACTCAGTTTTTTTTTTAGAGACAGGGTCTTGCTCTTGCTCAGGCTGGTCTCCAACTTATGAGTTCAAGCAGTTCATCCCTCTTGCTAAAATTACAAGCATGAGACAAAATTGTTTTATTATAGAATATTCCTTAAGTTATATATTGACTGAATACCAACAAAAGACTGAAATAGCCAGATTGTGTGGTTCTTGCTTCTAATTCTAGCACTCTCGGGAGGCCAAGGCAGATGGATTGCTTGAGCTCAGGAGTTTGAGACCAGCCTCAGCAAGAGCGAGACTCTAGTCTCTTAAAAAATAGGTGGGGCACCTGTAGTCCCAGCTACTCGAGAGACTGAGGCAAGAGATCTCCTGAGGCTCGGTAACCCATAGCTCAGTGGTTAGGGTTCCAGCCACATACACTGAGGCAGACGGATTCAAACCCAGCCCAGGCCTGCTAAATAACAATGACAAATGCAACAAAAAAATAGCTGGGCATTGTGGTGGGCATCTATAGGCCCAGCTCCTTGGGAGGCTGAGACAAGAGAATCACTTAAGCCCAGAAGTTAGAGGTAGCTGTGAGCTGTGACGCCACAGGACTCTATCCAAGACAACAGAGTGAGACCATGTTTTAAAGACCATGTCTTTAAAAAAAAAAAAAGAAGAAGAAGACTGAGATATATTGAAACCTTAATTATCTTTCTTTATAAAAGATCTTGGCTGGGCACTTTGGCTCATACCTATAATTCCAGTACTTTGGGAGACCAAGACAGCCAGATTGCTTGAGGCTAGGAGTTTAAGACCAACCTGGGCAACGTAGCAAGACCCCAACTCTTAAAAATAAGGAAATCAGTTGGGCATCATGACAGGTACCTCTAGTGTAGCATAAGAGTTCAATGTTGCGTGAGCTGTGGTTGCATCACTCACTGTAGCCTGGGCAACAGAGTGAGACCATGTCTCTAAATAAAATCTCACAAACAAATTAATTATTATAAGGAATTTTCTTAAAAATGTGTTTAAAATACCAATAACAGCCTCAGCACCTGTAGCTCAAGTGGCTGAGGTGCCAGCCACATACACCTAAGGTGGCGAGTTCAAATCAAGCCCAGGCCTGCCAAACAACAATGATGGCTGCACCCAAAAAATAGCCAGGCATTGTGGCGGGTGCCTGTGGTCCCAGGTACTTGAGAGGCTGAGGCAGGAGACTTGCTTGAGCCCAGGAGTTGGAGGTTGCTG